GGAGTTCAGAGATGCAAACCTAAGCACAAATGTCTCCACACTTGAGAGATGAGAAGGGAGGCTTGAGATTCGTAATTTTATTCTTGGGTTTACTGGTCATACATAGGGAAAGATTTATGAGCAGTACTACCAGAGTGGAATGTGATACCCTCTTCGGCTTAGCCAGTGCTCAACAGTTTGGAAAGATTTTTTTTGACTGGATGCTTCCCCCCCCCAAAAAAAAAGGCGGTAAATGTGCTAGAAGAAGAAGAAAATCAGCTTTAAATGACAGATTGATGGGTAATAATACTTAAGAAAATATAGGAGCACAACTGACCAGTTTATCAGTAACCACAGTTACTTGGTACTTGTCTTGGTCACATGAGGGCAAAATCTGTAAAAATGGACCGAAAAAGTTGTCTTTGACTTAACATTTCTAAGCTTTTATTTAAACATGTCATGTAATCATTTTGGCCTCTTGAGCAACAGCTTGAGGAGATCCAAATGGAAGGTTAAATCCTTTTAAAAATATAAATTATCTATTCTTTCCTGCCCCTTCCTCCTTCCTTTCCCTCTCCATTTACACATATTTCCTACCTCTTTGAACTATAGCCAGCAGCTGAATGAGGTACATCTCTAGTGTACATGATGGGAGGGGAGGGGGAAATCCATAATGGAAAGATTAAAGGAGGTATAGCTACAACTTTTTCAACAGATACACCTCTTGTAAGGAGAATATATTGTAAAATCGGTGTACTGGATACAGGAATAACTACAGTATTTAAAAAAACCCAAACAACAAAACAAAAAGCAACTAAACTCTTAACACTGGTACGTGATGCTTTCTGCCAATTCCTTAGCTGATTCATTCATTTTTACATCAGCAGTTTGGAAGTATCTTACTGAAAAAAATAACAATAGTAGGAATTTTTTGTTTTTACTTTGTAACCTACTCAAAACGCTGTGTGAAAAATACAGAACTCCACTGTTCCTTTGATCATTTGATGCTCTGTGGGTGAGCAGCTTGTCAGATTTCAGCCTGCCTCAAGAACAAGAAAACAAGCCTGTTTCTATAGTTATGATGGTCTCATGATACGATGGTCTCATGATACAAACAGGACAATGTTTGGCAGGCATGGTGGTGTCCTATGTTAGGCCAGCTGATATGCTTTGCAGCTCGAAGGAGAAAACAAGCTGAGAGGCACACAAGGCCCTTCTTAGTCTGAAACAAAAGCAGCAAACCTTGTTAAACCGTGTTTTGTAATAATCTACAAAGCCTACACAGGCTTTTGGTGAGCTTGATTCCCATGACGTTCGCCTTACTACGCTTACAAATGGAACCATTTTACTTCTGAACTAAGTATTTGCTCTGCAAGCAGTGTTTAGTAACTGGTAGTGTATTTGTAAAACATATTTTGAAATCCTGTTTACATTAATAACATATTTGATATGTTTGATTATTTCTTGGCTCAATTTTGTTTCCAGAATTGAATAATATTTGTACAAAATGTTTAAATCCCGTCATGGCTATTTTTTTGACTTCTCAAACTTAAAGCAGTTGACTTTTAGCACAGAAAACCAGTGTTTGATAATATATGGCTGATAACATCAGTTATTTGACGGATAAATAATTACTACCTGTAATTTTCCTATGACGTAAACTGGTTGCATCTTTTTGGGTGATTACAAGAAATAGTCTGTAACGTGCTCTGTAAAAAAAAATTGCAAAATTTTTAAACAAAAATGCCCAAAGGGGGTTAAAAAAAAAAAAAAAAAAAAGGAAAATACAGGTATTTCCACATGTGCACATGCTCTCTTTTGGAGATTTCTCTTTGGAAAGCTGTTACTGAAGAAGCTCTTCCGTACACATCCAGCACACTGATCTGTGCTTCAGTGAGGCAGCGTACAGCTTTCTTTACAGTGACAAATACTGAAATGCTAAAAATAGATCCAGCCTTAAGAATCCCAGATATTTTCAAATAACAAAGAGTGATTTATGTGAGCTCATTTTGCACTTTGACAAAATATAGAGGCGCTTTTGTACTATGATTAGCAAGGGTGCTGATGTCAGTTCGCTTGTCTAGCTTTAAGCTTTATTCTGCTGCTAAATTGTGCTTTGTACTGTAATCCAGAGAACCTTTGTATCTGCCTTATTAGTGTGTAGTTTATGGAATTGCTTTTGTTTTTGAATATAATCTGTGCCAGTTTCAGTGAGTGTGACTCATTATAGGACTGAAATAAACGTTCACATATGCACTATGTGAAAACTCTGCAAAAATAGTAGCAGGTGCTGGTAGGCTAAATTCAATGTTTTAAGTACTTTATAGTTGCTGTTTTGTAGCCTGAAGGGCTGAAAGGAAATTCTTTTAGCTGGTTGGTTTTTCTCAGTTTTAGAGAATCCTATTTACTCGTTAATGCTCAACAGAGATTATCAGAATTGCTAAGAACCTTTTGCTCCTTAACATAGTACTAGAAATAACCTTCTAGAAGAGGCACACCTGGTTGGTACAGAGTTGATGGGGTTTTTTGCATGGTGTTTTGTTGTTGCACAAATTATGAGACAAAACACATCATGCTTCTCAACTGCTCTTGTCCCTCTCCTATCTCTAATCTCTTCCCTCCTGATTTCAGCTTTGAAAATTTCATCTGAGTGGCTGAGGACTGAGGTTAAAGATAAAGGCAGTTTTTGAAGCAGGAGGGTTTTGCAGTTTGGTTTATAACAGTTATCTGTGACCAACCTTGCCTGGAGAGAGAGCCTCCGATACTGACGTTTCCTGTTATCCCAGCATCTAAGTTGTCACTTGATTTGGAAACAGGAAACAAAACAAACTTTGCTAGTGTTTTTGGGTCGCTGTTAGACAGTGCTTATCCAGCTGTGCTACTAGAATATACCCACATTTGAAATCTAAATTTGAAGGGGTTTCGTCTGTTATGTTTTCTACTTCTGTGTTTGAGTGTTCACCCAGTTAAACTTATTACTACCATGGAAATAGTTCTTTGAGACTTTGACCTGATTCACACAGTTCAACATTTAAAGGCAGATGCTGTATTCATCATAATATAATACACAATAAATACAATATACTATACATATATATTGTACAACTACAATAAATATACTTGTTTTGTGAAGTATAGACATTATCTTAAAATCAAATAACTTTTTGAGTGTTGGTAGTTGGAGAATGGATCACAAGCCTTAATTAAGCTGTCTGGCATTTTTCCCTCCCTCCTGTTTTCTGTATTATCTTTTCATAATAGCTTTCTAAGCTTGATACCCCAAAAAGGCATTCCCACTTCACAATGAGGGTTTTGTGAGTCTCCAGGGCCAAGCTGACGATGCTAGTTCAGAGCTGGGAGATGGCAGTGCAGTTCTCCCTCTTTGTCCTTTATGTCCTCCTTCCACTAGTTTGTTTGAGGGTAACAGCTACACTAAAAATGAAATGGAAGCGCTCTTGTGCCTCACAGAAACATCTGTGAATCTTTTCCTAATACACAGTAAGAAACACTTGTTTTGAAACCTACTCCCAGTGTGTAAGGGACATCACACATCTTGACCTCTTCTGAGACCATCCTTGCTGATTTCATTCCTTTCCTTGGTTAGCCTGCAACCAGAGCTGACCAAAAGGAAAATGCACTCACCTGTCTTATTTATGCATTTCTTCTGTTGTTTTTTTTTTTTTTTTTTTGATCTTCCAAAGGACTTGCTGATAACCTCATTTGAATATCCCAAAGAAGTTTTAAATGGGCTGCCTTGGGGCACGGTGCGAGCCTGTAGTGTGATGTGCAGGGACTTGGCTACTGCCTTGATTTTTCTTGGTCTCCAACTTGGCTGGAAAGCGTAAGAACAAATGGATGACACAGTGATGGCTCCCCACTGTGCCTGGGCTCTGCTTTCAGATTTCTGGCTCTGAAGGCAGTGCAGCTCTTCCAGTGGGCAGTGGCAGTACGTCTGGTTTCTTCTGCTGTGCCCGTTATCCTGGACTTGGGGCATGTAAAGAAGCTTGCAGCACAGAATGTTGTGTTGCTGGTAGAGCTGAGGAACAAGTGGGGCAATAAAGTCGCTGTTGGAAGCAACAGGACAGCTGTATGCAAACCTTGTTTTCTTAGTTTAAGTTAATGCCTTTGATCAGAATTATAACAGGTGATGGAGGCCCATGGGAATGAAAGGCAGCTGAGGATCAGTTAGAAGATGAGGCAATTTAGTTGTGCTTTTCTCTCAGACCAGCTTCTTTGTCTCTGCAGCATCAGGAGGGCTGGTGTGTTAGGCACAGCGTCAGACTATCAAATATATTTCTTCTGTGGATGTACCTTCCCCAAAGACTGGCTTTATGTGGTAAAATTATAACATTTGGTCATTCTCTCCATCCTCGTCTCTCTAATGGTTTCAAAAAGAATAATATAGCTCTTTTTCTGTGAGAAGTACTACTGTAGAAATATTATGAGGTTCTGAGTGCAGAGGTCCCCTGGCATCAAGGCGAGTGTACAATGTGAGCATTGTCTGTTCTTTAAATACAGGTCAACTATTGTTGAGTATTAGTGAAAAATTCAGTTAAAATGCATCAGCCTGAAGCAACAGATATTGGAAACAAAATGCTATGCAGCACTGAAAAATGTATTTTATTTTGTCTTCCCCATGCCTATGAGAGCTTCCTTCAAAGGCTTTTGTGTGGAGTTTCATCCCCCACTCCCCCCGCTCCTGGTCCCCTTCCCCTTTTTTTTCTTTACTGGATTCATTCTTTCTCATTTGGTAAACAGTGATTTAGTTTATATATCCACTTGTTATAAGCAAAGCTAAGAAATAAACTTCAAAATACAAATTCACTAATCCTCAAGTCCACTGCTGTAACAATACCTAAGTAGATTGTATTAAATGTAGGTATCTGGTGTGTAATCTCTTAAAATAACAATTGGACTATTTATTAACACTTGGTTCAACCCAGGTTGAAGCCATACACAAAATGATCTTAAAGTCTGATTTCTTCTAATTTTTCTCCCTTTTTTCTCTCTCCAATTTTCAGGCATGGAAGAGAAGATGGTTTGTTCTTCGGAGCGGCCGTTTAACGGGGGATCCGGATGTATTGGAATACTACAAAAATGACCATGCCAAGAAGCCTATCCGTATTATTGACTTAAATTTGTGTCAACAAGTGGATGCTGGATTAACGTTCAACAAAAAAGAGTTTGAAAACAGCTATATTTTTGATATCAACACTATAGACCGAGTTTTCTATTTGGTAGCAGACAGCGAGGAGGAGATGAATAAGTGGGTCCGATGTATCTGTGATATCTGTGGGTTCAACCCTACAGATGAGGGTAAGTTCTGTTGCTTTTTCTGAGAATCTGCAGTGCCTACATGCAAAGAATGTTTCAAAGATCAGATGGCTATCTTTAGCTGGCATATGTTTTAGAACTCGTATCCATTGGCTATGAAACTTCCTTGTTACTCTTCGAAAAAAGCAAGCAGAACAGAGGGAGATACGAAGAACTTGTTACAAATTGAGTGTGCCATAGAACTTGGATGACGCTCTTCTGTTTTGCATGGCATTAGGTCTTGAGAACACAGGAAAAATCTTTAAGTAAAATCATGTGCAGCAGTAGATCAACATAATCATCGAAGGAATCCCATTTGGTATAAAAACATATGGTTATGCAAGCAGGAATGAGTGCAAAATGTCAGGTTTCTAATATTACCATTTCTCCGTCTGCTTTGCAACTTGGGGGAAAAAATCCACCCCCCACCAGCTAAAACAAACAAAAAATAACTTGTAGTTTTGCACTATCCAGCTCTAATCCTACCAAAATAGACATTTTGTGAAGGCAGCTTGTAGGAAGCAGGATGGTGTGTTTAATTCCTTACAAATACCTTGTGGCCATTGCTTGTCCTGAATCCATTCTTATTTATTTACTTATTATTCCTGCATTCCTTGTGGAGATTAGTGGGTTGCATGACTTGCTGTTGCTCTGTGCACAGTCCCAAGAAAAGATTAAATATGTGGTAAGAGGGTTATGAATAAGGCATGCCTGACTGAAGGGGCTAGAATTAAATCCCTGCTTTTTGCAGGATTGTGGATTGAGGGAGGTGAAGGGAAAAAGGGCTAGCATCACTTCTTCTCTAGCCAGATCTTGAAAAGTGACTGGAAAATACTGTGCTCTGAAGAGGGGCCCTTTTCTTTCTTGTTGCTGCAGTTTTGAACTAAAACTTCGTCACGAAAACCTGATCTGTGAATTACCACTCGAATAGCAAATTCAGTGAAGGGTGCTTGTTTTGACAGTTCCAGCATATTTTCATGGCATCCTGAACATACCCGAGACCACCCACAGCACGTTTCTAAGAGCGATTGCCGGGTGATTCAGTGTTCAGTCTGCCAGGCATCCCTTGCCTACGGGAGAGGGGTGGGCAGGTGGTTTGCCTTTCAGTGGATAACACACGAGTGCACCAGTGCAGCTGTGGGCAGGAGGTGCACAGAAGCCTAAGGTTCTGGGGACAAACTAGGAATCTGGGAATTAAGGAGGAAACGTGTTTAACTGGCAGCTCTTTGGCAGAGCACAAAGGAGCTTGTGTCTGTTGCGTGGGAGGGAGAGGTAGAGTCCCCTAAAAACCGTGAGGCCTCTCCTCTGAAGGCTGATTTATTGCTCATCCTTAATTTTCTGTTGATGGTTACAACATCTGTTGGTGAACTGAAGGTGAAACACACTATGGATGTGAAGAGATCTAACTATAGCATCACAGGCCATTTGGACCAAAACTGGTTTTTGCTCCAGTCAGTTGTATTGATAAATTATCCCTGTTGTACTTTCATTGCATGTTTCATCTTGGGCATTTTAGCTTTGCCTGGATTATTCCAACACCTTTACTTCACACAACTGACAGTTGACAGTCCTGTCTGTTTTATGGGTTTAGTAATGTCTTGCAGTGAATTGAGGAAGCATTTAAAAAAGGAAAATGGGAAAATCAGTTGCTGAGTGTTTATTGCCAAGTTCTTATTTTTCCAAGATGAATCTTCCTACTAGTGGAAGAACAAGTCATAAATGTACTTTATAAAATCTGTGTTAACCTCCAGTTTATTTTGAAAAGTTCAAGAATAGGTGAAGTTCAGGCAGTAAAAAAGCACTATTAATATGCTCTTGTGAGACCCCACCTGGAGTATGCATACAGTTCTGGTGTCCCCAACATATGGCCCCTGAGGAGGGCCATAAAGTTGATAGGAGGACTGGAGCACCTCCCCTACAAAAACAGGCTGAGAAAGTTGGGGCTGTTCAGCCTGGAGAAGAGAAGGTTGCGTGGAGACATCACAGAAACCTTTCAGTGTCTGAAGGGGGTTTACAGGGAAGCTGGAGAGGGACTCTTCGTTAGGCACTGTAGTGATGGGACAAGGAGTAATTGTTAACAAATTGAAAGAGGGGAATTTTAGGTTAGATATAGGGAAGGAATTCTTTACTGTGAGGGTAGTGAGACACTGGAACAGTGTTGCCCAGGGAGGTTGCAGTTCCTCCAGTCCTGGCGGTGTTCAAAGCCAGATTGGATAAGGCCTTGAGCAATCTGGTCTAGTGGGGATGTATCCCTGCCCATGGCAGAGGTGGGACTAGATGATCTTTAATGTCCATTCCAACCCCTTAACATTCTATGATTCTATGATTTTAGTCTTGAACTAAACAAAATGAGTGTATGGGGCATAACTGATCTCCCCTTTAGCCTGTGGAAGCAGAGGATAGTTTTCTTTGAGGCTGGACAAAATTTCTCTTGCCAGACAGGTTAAGGGCTGTGTTATGAGAGGACTATCGTTGGCATCCTTTGCTCCATGAAGGACTAGGGGCACCACTGTCCTATTGCTCCTACTGGTGTTTGTTTGGAAGCCCAGGCCCATTGTCTCCTTGGATTTACAAAGGAAGAAGTTACAAGTTGTGGTGGCTAGTGCTATTAGAAGACAAATATGGAGTTGTTATTTTTGGTGTTGGGAGGAATTAGGGACAAAGAGTTGTCATAACTGTAGACAGACCAAAAAAATAAGGATCACTTCAGAGTAGCTGTGAGCTGTTCTTTTCATACTTAGTGAAGACTCAGAGATTCCTATGATGCTAAGTTTGTGTTTATTTTTTCAGAAATTATTTTGAGTACTCATTTTTACCTAATGCTTTGCTGTGGCTTTCCAACCCAAAATTGGTCTATGCCTGTGCAATCTCTTCATTGCGGAGGTCTGCAATGTTACATTTGTATTTGGACATAGATAACTTTATGTTCTTCAGTCATTATTACCAGCCATTGAGTCTTCAGATTTCTGATTGCATCATAGTATTGTGTAATCTGTAATGATTTCATTACAATTACAATATATGCAATATATTCCTTTTTACAGGGAGTTTCTTTTAAGAAAGGGTTCACAGTGGTTTAGGTATTTTAAACTTACAGCAAGACAGAAACACGAAAGATTTTTTTTTTCTTTTAAATAAGGTAAATAATTCACTTTCAAAAATTAATATCTGGGTACTTGTTATGTTTTCTTCAGCTAATACTTCTTTTTCATTTGTTTTCAAATGTAAATTTTGTTTCCATACAATCTTTCTTTTTAAAATGCATGTGCAAAGGTGGGGGGGAAGCTACACATGAACGTGGGGTTTAGGTTTACCTCAGAGTTTCATATTGCACTTTTAACATTCATATTTTGTCTGTAAGGTCATAATATAATAAGTCATCTAGAAGTTAAAATGGAACTATGAGCAAAAATGTGTCACCTGTGTTTTGTGTGCTTTGAACTCCAGTAGGAGACATTCTGGGGTGGAGAGAGTAAATAGACCTAGGAAATGTCTGTTCTCTGCCTGGTGCTGTGGAGATGTCTGCTGAAATACTGTGGCTTGAACTTTCAGAAGGATGGGGAGAAATGTTTAAAGAAAGGTAGAAATATAGGAAATGGATTTTTTTAAAGTGATTGATGAGAAGAAAGGTTGAAAGATTTTTTTTTCTTTTCCCCTGGGAAGAAAATACTGAGGGAAGAACTGACTTTGAAAAAAAGGCTGTGATAAGCAGGACATGGATTAGTTGTTATCTGAAGAGAGAACTTACTTGTTTTTCTCTCAGTGAGTGATGTAACAATAAAGAAAACCCTTCTAAGGATATCTCAGCACAGGCTGTGAAAGCCCTTCCCTGGAATTCAGTAGACATCTGTGATGAATGTTCTATACGTGATCCAGCTCCATGTTTCTGTAATTTAGTGAATTGCGTGCTTGGCAGAGCAGGGGAAGGAGGAAATAATCTTACTATATGCAAACATGTTACTTGCATGTATTCATTTGAATAAAGATAGCAATAGCAAAGTAAACCAGAAGAAATAACAAGGCAAAGCAGAAGAAAAAAAAAAAAGAAAAGGGAAGAACAAGACATTGAAATGTACTATTACATTTACACAAATAATTACATGTGGTAAAGAAAGTTTGTCATCAGAAGGCCGGTACTTTGAAGGAGCTGCAGCTTTTTTCACACACGGCACTTTCAAAGTCCGCAGTGTTTCTGTTCAGGTAGCTGCTCTCTGGTGTGTGCCTCTCATGCCTTCTGCCTTTGGGACAATTATTTTTGGAGAACCATGCTTTTTTTTCGTTGTATTCTGATAATCTGTGGTCATGCACTGCAAGTTGATCACAGCTGGGTTGCAGTATCAGTGACAGGATGAACATAACTTCACCTTGCCATCCTGGCTCCTTGTATCCTCTCCAGTGCTGCGTGGTCAGGCATCACCACAGCTGCTGTGCTGAGTCCGTGATCTCCATCTCCGATCAGGATATCCCTGTGCTGCCTGTGACACACACATGGAACAGACAACAGGCTCTGCCACTAAGAGCTTACTGTCTGCAGTAAGAGACATCAGCACAGGAGCAGGGGCAGGGGAAGAAGTGAAAGCAAACAAGGTGCCTTTGACCATTGTGACAGTGTCAGTGCCTCAGGTGTTGGATGCTGTTTGAGCTCTGGGCTTTTTTCAGAAGAGGTTTTCAGGAGGTCTTTGATAAATAGCGGACATTGGAGGTGTTCTGGATGCCATTCCTGCATGAAGGGTTTGCCTGTAAGAAATAAAAAATGTTATTCTTTGACAGCTTTGACAAGTGGATGATGGAGGTTGGAACACTTGGCAAATCAAAATTGCCATCCCCATAACATGGGGAGAAGAATAGAGACCTTGGTCATGGAAGGACTCAAAAGTAAGGACAAATAGCAAAAGCGAGGACTGAAAGCTCACGTTTAGATGAAGGAAGGGAGACTCTGGAGGGGCATAAAGAGAAATGCAATAACAGAGTAATAAGCTTAAAAAAAATTTTCAACAAGTTTA